CTATTGAAAAGTAACAATAACCTTGGGTATTTTTAATGTTAACAATTAAATCCACTCAACTAATATAGCACTTTATTTTGGTAGTGCTTTATTTTGCAATTTTGTTGTATTATTATTTTTAGTAATGCATGGTAGATCTAGTTAGCTATTAGTATGTGACATTACAGCAAATACACTCAAGTATCTACGCAGACACTAATCGTAAACATCACAAGAGGAGTGGGAATTATGTGAATGAGTTACATTCTTTATTGTCACATGTAATAACTGTTCATAGTGTTCCTCTACTACTGTTATTATTATAGTAGGAAGAGTTTATACAACAGATCAATCATCGACCATCAACAACTGTATACTATCCCTATTGTAGAGTGTTCTCACTATTTTACCTTTTGTTAAAATTATATTTTTCATTGACTGACATATTTCACACAAAGTTCCGTAACTGAGTGATCGTTAAAGTTTATTCTTCATTGTCACATGTAATAACTGTTCATAGTGTTACTCTACTACTGTTATTATTGTCATTCTAGATATTATGACTAAATTTGGTCATTTCACAGAAACGTTATTTTATGCATGATCACAATAAATGCAATAAAATTGAATATCAGAACCAATCAGTAGTACATCAAGCACCTTTTTAAATAAATATAACCTATTATTATATTGATAGTGATCACAATTATGTACTGGCCGGGCTACATGTAGCTATGTACAACAGTAGATTAGTTATATGGTAAGATATTGTAGATTGACAATGATATAACAAGTCTTTCTTGTAAATTGAAATACAGTATATGAGTATATTTAGTCCAGCAGTGTATAGTGTGTGTGGTATATAGCACCTCATAAAACAGTTACTGGAATACACCACTAGCACTGACTTGAAATACATCAATCATTGAATATCAGTGTATGTGGAATGCACCCAGTACATGTGCAATGTTTATTAGTACAAGCACTTTAATAATAATATCACACCTAATGAGACAAAGTAATAAATCATTATCATATAATATATGCTGATTCACAAACTGATACTATTATACAGGAAGTGTAAGGGCTGTTGTTGTTACTAAGAATTATATACTATCATAAAAATGTCATTATAATTATTACAATGAGTATATTATTGGGTGTAGCTATCAATGAAAACTGTCAATAGCATTTAACTTACCAGTCACACTAAGTTATTATAAACTAATAAT